TGCAGCACAGCGCCACACTGCAAATACTGATAGGCCTTTGTGCCGCACGAACCCACTGTAAACCAAACGTGGGAATTTTGTCCAATCCAGCAAAGACTCGTCCTCCTCTTCTGGAACATTCAGAACAGCAGAACTTGTTGAATAAGAGCAGCATCATTTTAGGAAGTTGAATGGTAAATTTGTGAAGCTGAATAATGTCTGCCAATCTTTAAGTGGTACTTTACTCTATTTTTAATACATTTGCAGTGGTCTCTAGTAGGAACGAATGCCTTGTAGGCCGTACTCGGGCAGGGAAAAAAAGCTCTGGTGCACGTGTTTTAGGAACTAGAAGTGAGCCAGATCATAGTTGAGCTATTTGGACGTCACACCTCGGACTGGATAACAGCAATGCAACTATTCCACTGACTTGCAACGTGGATGTTTTATCTCCACAAATAGCACATGCCTGGAGGAGTTCTGCCGTGGGGTGGAGTTGTCAATGCTAATGGTTAGCTTAAACTAGCCAAGACATCCTCTGCTTATTCCCAGATGCTAAAACCAGCAACAGCTTTCCCCATTGGGGATCAAGATAGTGAGTCCACGAATGTTAAGAGACAGTGTGATGTAGATCTGTCAGGATTTTCAAATCCTAGAGTTTCATCGTCTATCCTATCAGAAGTTAATGCAGGAGATAGATGTAGGAGACTATGTTCATGTTCAACCTGCATGAAAAACTCAGTGATCGATTGTAATCAGAAATAATAATTAAGTGTAATTTTCAGTGAAGTGCCACTTTAAAATGGTTTCATAAAGAGGTCCTAGAATTCAAAACCACTTTGACCTTGTTGTTTTTAAAAGGAGGCAGTTTGGGGTGTCAAATGTACCAAAAAGTCTGTGTCGTCTCCAACCTGCTTTCCTTTGTAAGTAAGTCATGTTGTAATGGTGGCTGAGAAACCTTTTGTTCTGAGAAAAGCTGCTTTAACACGTCACACATGTAAATGTCCCGTATTTGTGTAGCGTCTTCTTAGGGTTCTACAACCCCCAAGGCGCTTCACAACACAATCAGTCAGTCAGCCATTCACAATAAGCTTAAGCTGGGCGGACACTGTGCGACTTTTTCACTCGTAGCACTCAGCTTCAGCTCGAACTGTACGACTTCCTCGCAGGGCAGATCTCACGAGTCATGTGCTCACACTGTACGACCCAGTTCTCGGATGTGACCTGATAGCTCACACTGTATGTCTGGTAGCAACACGT